CGGGCGCCTCCAAGGAGCGAGGGGCCGAGCAGGCCGCAGAGGGGGCCGCGAGGGGCCTGCAGTGGGGCGCCCTCCCGGGGCCCAGTTACCTGGCGGCGGCAGCTCCTCCAGCTCCTGCTCCTTCTCCCCGTCCGATGCTCAGCGCCCGGCGGCGGCGGCGGCGGCGGCGGCGGCGGCGGCGACTCTCCGGGCGACGGGGAAGGCGGCTCCAAGGCGCTCTCGCTGCACGGCGGCGCCAAGAAAGGCGGCGACGCCGGGGGCCCCCTGGACGGGGCGCTCAAGGCCCGCGCCTTGGGCGGCGGCGACTTATCGGTGAGCTCGGACTCGGACAGCTCGCAGGCCAGCGCCAACCTGGGCGCGCAGCCCATGCTTTGGCCGGCCTGGGTCTACTGCACGCGCTACTCGGACCGGCCTTCTTCAGGTGAGCCCGCCGCGGGGAGGCCCGCGGGGTTGCGGGGCGGCGCTGGCGCGGGAACTTACCCGGAGGAAGATAACACCAGGACACCACCCCCCCACCACCCCCAACACACACAAAGACACGCAAACAGGGACATTGTGTGCTGCAGACGCTGGCCCGGGCAGCGGCCAGGAGGAGAGGGGGCACGATTGATTCGCAGGGGGGTACAGATTTCTTAGAAAAGCAGAAGCGACAGGACCTTCCCTCTCTATCTTGTCTTTTGGGGCCACTCCCCAAAGTCCCTAGCCCACCCCTCCCCTGGCTGGAGTTTATTTGGTGAGACCGGGGGTGGCTGAAGACTAGCCTAGAATCTGGCACTCTTAACTCTTTCTCCGTCCTTCCAACTCAGTCCAGACCCAGGACCCATGCCCAACTCCCCCCCCCCCCCCCCCCGACCTAGACTCATCCTACGACCCAGTTATCCCAGATGAAGCCAGGGAAGAAAGAGCAAGACTCCTGGCTCTTCCTTCCACCCTTCGCCTGGGCTGAGAAGGGAGGAGTGGGGGGGATAGAGATAGGGAAGGGATGGAAACAGAGGGGCCCTTCGCCCTGTTTTAGTTGTCTGATCACACGTTGGGGAAGCTCAGCACCCATCTTGCACACTGCTCCGAAGAGGGAGGCCTGCAGTCCCCCAAAGAAAGGACCTTCTCCCAGAGGTTTCCTGGGGCAGCTCTCAGGGAGGAAAGAAGCAGATTGCCGCGGGAGGGTGGGTGGAGGGGCCCGCGGGTGTGTGCAGGGGTTCTGGGTGTATTTTTCATAGATCTGGATTTTTAAAAGCTAAATGCATGTCCTTGTAGCTATCATCAGCTGCATGAAATGGGGGTCTGCGGCTGCGAACCGCCATTAGGAGGGGACTCCATTTGTCCCTGAGCCGGCAGCCCAGACCGGACCCCGCTGCCCCCCCAACGCTCAACTGTTTTGCGGGGGTTGTTTACCCGAATCACAGCATAACTGAGTCTCCCCTTGGCCGCCTTCCCGCAGAAATGTGTGTGTATATTTCTGATGAAATCCACATTTGTCCAGCTAGATCTGAAATTTGCTCCATTGTTCTCGCCTTCCTCCTTTGTTAATATTTAATTAACATATAGGCTCACAATGCGGCCAGCGAGGAGCCTGCGCCGGGCTTTGTGCAGCGGCGGAGTCGCGGCCGCGCCAGGCCCCGGTGGCCCGAGGGAGCCCCGCAGCCCGGCCGGGCCCCAGTCGCTGGTCTTCCTGGACTTAAAAACAAAACAAAACAAAACAAAAAAACAGAAAACCATAACGTAACATTTGTGTTTCTTGGCCTTTTAGAAAAAAGCAAGGCAAAGAGTTTTCTTTGCCGAGGTTTGCTTCTGTTTCTGCGACTCTCAAGTGCTTACGTTTTGAAAGAAAATGGAAGAAAGAGAACTAAAAATTCTGTTTTTAGGGAGATTTTCTTTCCGCAAAATGATGTGTATCTTTTTACGGGCTGGTTCGTGTGTGCAAGAGCCCCAGGACCAGAGGAGTTTGGAGTGTAGGAAGCGTGCTTCCCCGGGACAGTGGAGACGCAGAACGGGCTCCCGGAGCACGAGGCCGCGGTCGGGTCCGAGCAGGTGCGGGGCCTGGCGAGGCCTCACCGAGCCACCCGCTAACCCTCCGCGCGCGCCCCGGCAGCTTCTCGATCGAAGCCCGCCCGCCGGCGCGGAACCGGCGCCCTTGGCGTGTGCGTGGCGGTGGCGGTGGGTGTGCGCGCGCGGGGGTAGGTGTGTGCGCGGGGGCGCGGGTGTGAGTGTGGCTTTGCTCTAGAATCTAAAAGGCGGGGAGTTTGAGCCGAACGGCCCTTGGCGCCCCCTCGCCGGCGCCCACAGCCCCTCTACCGGAGTTTGCCTCCCCGAGAGCGCACGGCTGGGTAGGCGGGCAGGGAGTTCTCGGCGCCCGCTGGGTCTCGGGACCAGCCCGGACCCCGGGCTCGCGCGCCCCCCGGCGCACTCTGCCTTCCCCACTCTCCCGGCTCTCGGGTCGGGTGCATTGGCAGCCTCCGGCGAGATCCCTCCGCCGCTGCTGCGCAGGGCGGCGTGGCTGTCCCCTGGCCCTGCAGGGTGGCACCCGGCGGAGACCTGGGGGGCTCTGGCTGCTTGAGGGAGCCGGCAGGGGTCCAGCCTCCCGCCGCCGGCGTCTGGGAAGGAGCTGGGGCCGGAGCTCCCCAAAGTTGGTTCACTTCACAGAGTAAGAAACCCACACGTGCAGCCCAGCCTTCCTCCCCTAATGGCCTTTGCCATCTCTTCCCTCAAAGACACCCTTGTGGGGCTGAACTTCTTGACATCAACAAAAAGAAAGCGCTTGGCCCTCCTTTCTGCTCCCCTCACTCAGGACTCTTCAGATGGCGGGTTCCTAGGAGCCTTGCCACCACCTGCCCCAAACTAACCTCAAGTGGTGCGGGGGTTGTCCCAGAGGGAGGAGCCCAGGCGGGGGTCAGAAGTGTGAACCCTCTGCACAAGGTCAGCTGGGCTCCTCTTCCGCCTCCAGTGAGGCAGCCCCAGTCTGGGGCAACCAGGTTCCCTCTCCTGCACTGGGAGACTGAAGGGGAGGTGGCAGGGAGTGGCTCAGTGCTCCTTCCCCACCCAGGAAAGGATGCATGCGTTCCCTCCCCTCCAGGAGAGAAACAATGAACTTGGGCCCGCTAGGCCAGGTAGGGGAGGCAGAAAGGGGGCTAGGGTGGAGGCAGATCCACGGGCTTGTCCTGTTCTCTGGATGCACCTGCCCCCTGACTCCCACCGCCCCTGGCACCTGACGGTATCCCCTGTGAGCATCCTGTGGGCATCCTGTCACTGTTCCTGGGCTCCCGCTGTTGCTACTCTGGCTGCCCCGCCCCTCCCCAACCTTTCCTCTTGCCTCTCCTGTGCCCCCCTGCCCTTACGCCTGGACAGAAAGGGACAGAAAAGGCCACGCTAGGAAGTTTGGGGTTTCTGCTTTCCTGCAGGAGTTTTCCTTTTATCTCGAGGCCCTTCTTTCTTCTTCTTCTTTTTAATCTTAAGTAAATTCTGTGCCACATGTGGGGCTCGAACTCTGACCCCTGAGATCAAGCATCGCATGCTCCTCCAACTGAGCCAGCCAGGTGCCCCTGGAGACCTTTCTACTAAGCCTGCTCTCTACCCGCCACACACCCCCTTACACCCTGATGTCCTCGGCCTGGCTTCTGGCTTTCCAGGGGTGGGTCCTGGAGGCCAGGTGGGAGAAAGCTCAGTCCCCAGTGTGCAGCCGCACTGGGCACTTTCCTCCCGGGTCTCTGTGGCCTGAGTCGGCAGACAGGCCTGGAGCCCTCCTAACCCTGTGTTCTGTCCCCGTGCCTGCCCAGGTCCCAGGTCTCGCAAACCAAAGAAGAAGAACCCCAACAAAGAAGACAAGCGGCCCCGCACGGCCTTCACGGCCGAGCAGCTGCAGAGGCTCAAGGCCGAGTTCCAGACCAACAGGTACCTGACCGAGCAGCGGCGCCAGAGCCTGGCGCAGGAGCTCAGCCTCAACGAGTCGCAGATCAAGATTTGGTTCCAGAACAAGCGCGCCAAGATCAAGAAGGCCACGGGCAATAAGAACACGCTGGCCGTGCACCTCATGGCGCAGGGTCTGTACAACCACTCGACGACCGCCAAGGAGGGCAAGTCGGACAGCGAGTAGGGCGGGCGGGCGCCGGAGTCTGGTCTCGGTCCGTGCTAAACAATGCAATAATTTAAAATCATAAAGGGCCAGTGTGTAAAGATTATACCAGCATTAATAGTGAAAATATCGTGTATTAGCTATGGTTCTGCAATATTCTATGTATATATAATTTACAGGTGGTGTAAAATCCAAAATATCTGACTATAAAATATTTTTTGAGTTTTTCTGTGTTTATGAGATTATGCTAATTTTATGATTTTTTTTTTTTTTTTTTTTGCGAAGGGGGCTGCTTAGGATTTCATCTTTTCTAATCCCCTAGGCTCCATTGTGGGACATGGGACACTTTTATTTTTTAATTTCAAAAGAAGAAAAAAATTAAAACAACTTGCTGAAGTCCAAAGATTTTTATTGCTGCATTTCACACGACTGTGAACCCAATAAATAGCTCCTACTTGGTCTCTGAGTTCTGCCACTTTGTTTGTGTGGGCTTGGTGAGGACAGCAGGAGGGTCTGCGCCCCCAGCCCCGGCCCAGGGAGGGGGGACGGAGGAGGGGGATGGCAGCGCAGAGGCCCTGGCAGGGCCCGGGGGACCGTTGGGGTCCTGGGAGGGGTGCCGCGCCTTGGCGGCGGTCAGGAGCGCGCCCGGGGCGGTGGGCCCGCAGTGCTGGGCCGCCCAGGCCCCCAGCCTCGCGCGGCTCCCCTCCTCCTGCCGTCTCTCGGGTTCCTCCTCCCCCTCCCCCTCCTCGCCGAGGCCTGGCAGGCATCTCCGAGTGCTTCACTCCGCGTCTGTTGCTGTCCCCTATCCAGCCGCCCGCTGCCAGAGCCAGCTCTCTCGCCTCCGGGCACCACTTCAGGGATCCCAGGCCCATGGGCCCAGCATGTGGCCGGAGGCCCGGGGATGGTGGAGCTGCCCCTCCTCCTATCCCCCAGGCCCCGGGAGTCTCCTGCCGCCCCATCAGCTCCCCGGCGGCACTCCGTGGGCCCCAGAAACGGCGGAGGTCTCCTGCCTCCGGGCGCGCAGAGGGCTCTCCAGCGGGAGCTGGTGTTTTCTTCCTTTCTTGTTTTTCTTCCCTTCCTTTTTCTCTTTTTTTCTTTTTTTAAGTGGCTGCTTCTGCTTTGGAGAGCATTCTTTCAAGGTACGTGTGTGTGTACATATCTGTGTAGTGCGTGTACAGACACGCGCAGACGTGTGTGAGTCCGCAGTTCCCCAACACGTGGCTACCTTGACTTCTGGAGGAACTCAAGAATCCTCCAGGATCGAGAGGAAGGAAGAAAACGTGTAAATAATCATTTCTTATCACTTTTTGTCTTTTCTTGTTTTTTTTTTTTAATATACATTTTATTTTTTGAAGGTGTGGTACAGTGTAAATTAAATATATTCAATATATCCCCACCAAGTACATATATAAACAAACACATTATCTATATATATAACTCTGCACTGTCTTCTGGTTAGTGTATGGAAAAAGAATCGTGTCCAAATGTCCATCTGCAGCCGGGACAGCCCAGGGGTGGGCCTGTGGCTGAGCCAGACCCATGGCTGAACCCCTGAAGACTGAGGGTGAACGTTTCTCTTTGCCTTAAACCTCTTTATTTCACTGCGATAATAGTTTCACTTTGTACATACTAGTGCAAACCTTTTTAAAAAGGAAACTATAAAAAGAAAAGTTGTAATTTAAAATTCTGTGAAGAACCATCTGCTGCTTAGGAAACTCAATGAAATGATATGCCTTTTTAGCAGGAAGCAAAGTTTTTTGGTTTTTATTTTTTTATATTATTTTTTTTAGTTTATAAAACATGTGCATTTTACAGTTCCAGTATCAAATATTTATAATCTTATGAGAAATGAATGTTTCTATTTACAACTGTGGTTATCAACATTGTGAACATTCCCCTTGCATTTTTTGTGTGTTTAAATTCTTGAAAGTTACATTAAATAAAAAAAAAAACAACAACGCTTTATCGTAAAATATTGAATGTCCAAGGTGGCATGACTAGTTTTTCTAAGCGTGTTTCTAAGTCCAGCCCAACTGCTCTGGGCATCTTCCCTGTGGTTCAGGTGCTCCTGGCCTTTGCCTCAATCAGAGCAGGGGTGCAACTCTTTACCTTTGCAGCCAGAGGTACAAATTAAAAAAAAACAAAACAAAATAAGACACTTTGAATATCTCCTGTGTGAGCACAGAACAACCAAAATAATTTAAGTACATTTCTTTACCAGAAGGAAGTGTTCAAAAGTATTGTGCTATTTCATTGCATAATTGTAGAAAAATCCTACAGAATGCAACAGGTCTCTGGCCTCCCTACTGTCCCTATGGGAGAGTGAGAGATGCTGTTCCCTTGGGAAGGGCTCTCTTTTATGTTTTGTTTTTACCCCCCAAAGCAAAGGACATGGACACATCCAGAGACAGAGGTGGGGAAAGGACAGACTTTGCCCGAGCTGACCAGGCGACCAGAAGCATCCATCCAGGTAGTGTTTTGGAGAGGGTGGTGATGGCCAATGTGTCCAGGCAGGATAGCTGAGCGCATCCGGTGTGCCCAGCTGATCTATGTCCAACCTTCCCTGGCTTGGAAAAGATTCCTCTCCCAGTAAAAGAAACTCAGAGACTAATGAGGATCACCTGCTGCCAAAGGAGGCTGGTGCTTTTGGTACTACATCGGCTTCCCAAGTGGAAGCTGGGTCTTGGGGCAGGAGAGGGGCTACTCCCAGGATTTGCAAAGATGCATTGATGGAGAGAGAGCTGGGGTCTCACCACGGAGGCTCTGGAGCCCGAGCTGCCTGGTCTCAGGAGTGCCCCAGGGTCATCGCCAATGGGGTGTGATCATTCAGGCAATCCCAGTGTCTCTTCCCTCCCCCTGCACAATTCTGAGGATTCTTTAGAGTAAACACTAAACAAAAAGGACAGGGACAACTTCTATTACCTGATTGGCCGCTCTCTCTTTTTAATAAAAAGACAGTATGGCAACATTAAGCAGTCATTCTTATTTTTTAATCTATTCACAAATCGTAACATTGTTGAGGGGCTGTGTACAGTTTTGTGAGGTAATGAGTTCCCCGTCCTTGGAAGAGTGCAAGCAAACATTAAGCCTGCAGTGGCATAAGGAGTTTTTCTTTTTTTGTCTCTAATAGGGGATTGGACTGAATGAACCCCCAGACCCTCAAAACGCTAAGATTCTGGTTTTGCTTCTATGTTTATTACATTTTTAAATTCTGCTTACAATCTAAGTTTGAGACTCATGAAGAGCCACTGTTGCACCAGCCAGCCCCCTCTCTCTTAGTGGCAAGTGGAGACCAGAGCCAGGCCTGCAGGGGAGGCAAGTGTCCTTTCTGAATCCAGAGCCTGGACTCTCGGCTTAACTTAAGGTGCCTCGGATCTGGACCAGGACTGTAGCACCGAGAGCTGGTGGAGCCTCGGGCCGGACCCGCCAGACTGCTGCCCCTCCAGAAGGCCAGTTTCATAAATGTTCTTCAGAGGAAAGCCCGTTTATAAAGGAGGCCCTTGCTCCTTCCGGCCAGAGGGCTGCCACCGCCCAGGCCTGTCTGTGTCCCCAGTCCTCCATAGCCCAGCGAAATCTAGGCGGGGCCTGGGAGTATCGACGCGGATTGCCGCGGGGCCTGCTTGAGCAGCGACTCCTGCGGGGGTGCCAGACACCGGACAGAGAGGCCTAGCAGGGCCCCTTGGGGTTCAGAGGGCTTTCCTCTTCCGCTGCCCAAAAAGTGGTCAGAGAGGGAGGGTCCAAACGTCAGGCCGGAGTCAGAATCCGAGGGTCAACACAGGCCTGAGGGTCACCCAGTGTGGACCCGCCATGTGCTTTCTTTAGGGGAAACAAGGAAGGAGCCACGCGGGTGAATCAGTGTAATCTCCAAGAGGACTCCAACTTTTTTTTTTCCTTGCGTGAACAGGTTAAGTCGATGGGGGCTTCTAGACCTCCTGGCACAGATGTGCCGGGCGCACAGCGCTCAGCTCACGACAAACACCGGCCACTATATATGCAAATACGCTCGCCGGCCGCCCAGCGCTGGCGGGGAGGCCGCGTTCGCTCGCTCTCGCTCGGCGACAAGTCATTCTGTCTCCCGCTGATTTAATATCCGACCTCCGCGGTCTCTGCCTGCCCCGACAGCTCCCCCAGCGTCCCCGGGACGTCCCGAAACCTGCCGCCGGCCAGGAGGAGCTGCGGCGGCTGGGAGGTGCATACAGACTTGGCGCCCAAGGGCCAGCGCGCAATGCCGACCGCTCTCTCCACTCCACAGCCGCACCCCGACACCGCCCCACACTCGCTCGGCAGCCCCCGCGCCAGGCCTCGCGGCGGGGCCCCCTTTCCGCGCTTCTCCAGCCCGCGGGGCCGAGCGCGAGGCCTTCTGTAGGCCTCGCGGTAGAGGCGGGTGGGGTGGCGTGGAGCGGGCGGGCCACAGC